ATCTAACTAGTAAGTTAACATTTAGATTTTACATTTTTACATTTACAGCGCTTTTTGATTTTAAATTCCAGTTTTCTTTTCTAAACGGATTTGCGTCCCAGTTTACAATTGCATTTCAACTTTGCTGTTTTATTTGTAATTTGAGCTCACTTGTTGGTTTGCAATTCAACTTTAATTCAACCTATAATCTTTGACACGTGACTCATTCCATAGCAATAACATGACGTTGCTTGGGTTTAATACAAGTTATATTTTGATTTCATATTACATAACACGACTTTTGAAAGTTCCCTATCTTTTTTAAAGAGTTAGCTAGCTTTGTCTTTCTACATGGGGGAGGGGCTATAGCTGTTTTCCGGCCGATACCTATCTATCTTAGAAAATAAAAAAAATCTTTGTAACCTGAAAATAACAATAGTGATTGCATTATTTGTGACTCGCGATAACACAATCACTTCACCGCTGGAAATGACAGTTTGATGTCCTGTGACAAAGGTCAAACTAAAATGAAAGTGGAATTGCAATTCAAATTAGGTCAAATTGTAAATCAAAACATTAAATGGAAACTGTAATTACAAATCATAAAACAAAGTGAAAAAGTAATTGTAAACTTGAATTGAAAACAAAGTGGAAATCACTGGGCAAACGCGTTGGTTTACGTTAGTCGGCGCACACGTACATTCAACGTATGTACGTGGAATACGCAACGTATATTCACACATTCGAAACATATTAATACGTAAATATACACATCAGTATATTTACGGAGACCGTACACGTAATGCAGAACAATGCTGTCCAACGTATTCCTACGTATACGTAGTATGTAATAATAATAATTTTATTAATTGTATAATGGCCTCCGGCCCATTACAATCATGCAAATTAATTATTGACAAGAAATAAATTTACATTACAAAATATGTATGAAAATATAGATGAAGAGTGTGTCAATACATAATATAAGCCCTATATAATAATGTGATGGGGATATTAATATATATATATATATATATATATATACAAGCTTATTAGGTTATTCTT